TACTACACATGATCCGTTTCAAATCCTGGAGCTGCTGCTCTTTTGTATAACATGCGAGCTCATCCACATGTGAATAATAAAATGAGCGACGCAAACTTTGAGCGACAACCCTTGCTCAAGCTTAACAAGATCTAGAACCCCCTCCACTCCACCCCCCCCCCCCCCACACACACACACGCACACACACTGGTGAACGCCCAAATCATTAAATGTCTTCAAACGAATTCTATGCTTGTGTCCGCATTGTGAAGGTGCAACGACCACGAAGAGGGAGCCAGTTTTTCTTCTTCAATACGTGTGCAAATGTGAAATATACGTTGGAAGTAGTTCATTGTAATGAGCGCTAAAGATGTGTCTTCACACAATAAAGTAATCGGAAAAGTAACGATTACTTCTTTAAGTAATGTCCAATTACTTTTGCCGTCGAGTAATCAAGTAATCTAATCGAATACTTTTTAGCCAAGAGTAAAAGTAATTGTAATCGATTACTTTTTTTTAGTAACGTGTACAAGACTGAGGGAAGGGCACTGGGGGGGGGGTTAAACTAACCAGGGGGGGGGGGGGGGTCACGTGACCTTGGGTGTCACGTGACCCCCAATGCCGATGATGTCATCACTGACGTCACTGATGACGTCATCAGTAACGATGACGATGCGGGTACCGATGACGTCATTAGTGACGTCACTGATGACTTCACCAGCGATGATGACGATGACGATGCGAATGTCGGTGACGTCGCTGATGACGTCATCAGTGGTGATGACGATGACGATGCGGATGCCGGTGACGACATCAGTGACGTCACTGATGACGTCATCAGTGATGATGACGATGACGATGCGGATGTCTGTAACAGCATCAGTGATGATGACGATGACGATGCGGATGTTGGTGACGTCATCAGTGATGATGACGATGACAATGTGGATGCCGGTGACGTCATCAGTGATGATGACGATGACGATGTGGATGCCGGTGACGTCATCAGTGACGATGACTTCATCGGGGGTCACGCGACATCGGCGGGGGTCACGTGACCTCGAGGAGGGGGTCACGTGACCTCAGGGGAGCCACGTGACTTAGGGGGGTCACGTGCCCCCCACGAGGTCACGTGACCCCGGTGGGGGGCTCGCGCGGTGCATCATGGGACATTTCCCATGATGCACCGAGCGGTTACGCCGATGGCGACGGCGACGCCGCTCAAGCCGGAAACGGGCCCCTAAGAGCTGCGCTCTAAAATAGGAAATATAGGTAATATTCACTGAGCCTGCAGGTTCGATTTTGCCAGGGAGCGCCACCGTCGAGCCGCCATCTTCAGGATTGTGTTGTTATTGTTATTTTTTTTCCTTCTCTCTTTTTGTGGCTTTGGAGGACAGTTTGGCTGACTTGGGTAGGCGATCGGCTGTTAATCGTGTATTAATTTGAAGAGAGAAGCAGAAGAAAAAAAAAGATCTCTCTCGGGGACCAGTCTGTTTTAATTTACTTGCCGTTGCCAAAAGCCGCAAGTATGCGTTTGAGCGACGGTGAAGTGTGCAGTTGTAGGGTGCTCTAACCACAACATGGAAAAAGCCGATCGAAGAAAACTTTGCGGAGGTGGGGTTTTTCCTCATCCCAAAAGTGGTGATATAACCAGTCTTCAAGGAGAAGGGCTACTCGGTAATGAAAAATGCTCTGCATTTTTCATGAATAGGGCAGACGATGAACTGCGCTTTATGTTTCTGCACATGAACGAAAACACCGTAGGCACGAAGTACGACGTGGAGGCAACAGAGCAGCACAGTCACATGGCCAAAGTTGCAAGAACCCGCTAACACTGTGCTGCAAAAGCACAGAAAATAAAAATAACCTCAAGTTTCACCCATAACAGCCCTTTAAAGTTGTAATACCTTGCTAAACCACGCTGAAGGGTCCGGCCACCAGACGACAGCTATGTGGGATGGAAAGAGACCTCGAAAATGGCGAACGTGGTGGGCGATGTTAGTGCACCTAGCGAGCGACGTCAAATAAATGCCATCTATACGGGACTGCCAATTGTTCCAAGGCTACCCGAGAGGTGGTGCCAGTGCGTTTTGTTTGCCGTAAAAGATTTAGAGGTTCGAAGGTGCACAGTCCTAAAATGTTGCAAGTGTATGAATGGGCCTTTAGAGAGGAAGGCTGAACTATAACGAGGTTAGGGTGCACACTAGCATCATTTCAGCAGCTGTTCGCTGTTTGTTGTCACCCCCAGCTCAGACAGCCAAGTGTTGCCGATTTGGTGCCGATTTTGGTGCTTACTTCGGACGAAGCTTGTGTTATCCAACAACGACCAAATGGGGAGAGCGAACGACCAAATAGAAAGAGCTAACAGGGAAGCCCGATCCAATTCGGTCGCCCTGTGGAGCATTCGACGTGTGAACAATCCGGAACGAGACGCTGTCGGATAAGGAACTGGTGGCGCAGTGTAATGCCGCACGTTCGTATAATATTGGGGCAGATACCAATGTTAACCCAACGTCATTTGATCGGTCAGGTGGGCAGTGATGACAAAGAGCAAACAGTTGCTGAAATTACTCTCGTGCGCACTATTGCCTCATTATAGTTTGACTTTCTTAAGGGGTGTCCAAACAGGATACTACAAAACGCATGAGTCCGACAAATTGTGCGGCGCTCCGCTTCCGGGGGGAAACCTCCCACCGTCAAATCTCCCCCTCGCTACCTCCACGGCGGCCTTGCTCTGCTGATCACGTGGGTCCGGAGAGCCACTCACACGCTCTGTTGGCTGTCGGTAAATTGCTCAAGTCCTCCACCGCTTTGGCAGTCCCGAAAACGGGAAAGGAACTCAAGTGTGAGAGGGCAAGCCAGACGAGCGCGCGTCGTGTCCGAGGTCGTGTCATCTTCCAGCAGTTCTGTGGATTGGATCGGATTCCCGCGGCTCTTGTTCCAAACATACCTCGTATAGACAAACAAACCTGGTTGGTTTAGAGTTTAATACAATAAATGATATATTTTAAGTTCTCAGTGTTTCTACATACAACTAAAAATCTCACTCTTCCGCATTGCACTTTATATATATATATTTTTTTTTTTTTTTTTTTCAAGCTTTGAACGTGGATTTTGACAAAGAAAGCTGAGTTGTGTAACGAACGACCTTCGCGGCCGCACCTGGACGCGGAACGCCACCCCTTTTCCTACATTCCCGAGGACGCGCCGCTCGCTGACAATCTCACGCCGGGATTATTTTCCCCGCTGCCCAGGTACCGTCGACAAAAGAGCAAGACAAGCCGTTGTCGATACCGGCTCAAGCTAGGTGCTGAAACGGAAATGCGTTCTCCTCGAGGCGTCCAAGCAGGAACCAACGGCAACGGTGATCCCTGCTAAGCCGAAAGAGGGAGATAAGCCGTGAACAGGAACTGCCCGGATATCGGTGTCCAAGGTCTTCTCCGTACCGACTAAGGAGGGGGACGGTACCCTCCGGGCGTTCGTGCTCTCTTAGAGTCAACAAAACGATTAACCTGTGTGTCCGTTTGGGCGTGCTCATTGGCGGTGCCCGGACGTTTGGGGATGAGCTTCTCGGTGTCACCTCGGCCTAGATTCCAGGAGCAAGGCCAAATCTCAAGCGTCACTGAAGAAACGGCTGCCACTACAAGCCTTGAGGAACCGGAAGAGCACTTATCCTCTGTGTGTGCTTGTGCGGGCGAGTGGGCGGTTCCTGACCAGTTGGGGAACGGTGTCCTGGCCTAGGGACGTAGGGAAGGGGGACCTTATAAAAAGAGTGGTTTTACGCGCTCTTTGTGTGTTCTCACGTTGTTCTCATGCCGAACGGCAGACTGTACATAGTATGTAAATAAACAGTTTGAGAAGAGACACCCTGGCTCGCTACCAGCTCTGCCCGATGTCCTTGGCGACGCATGGCTCCAGCGGAGATCGACTACGTGGACAAGCCCTGAGTCTTTACAGTTGGGGTGGCTGAAACGCGCACTTCGATGAAGGAATCTCCCAAATCCACCTGAAGCCGGACCTCTTTTTCCTTCCTGCCGAAGTGACGGCAATAGCAAGGTCGGCGACTTCGTGAGCCGTGGGAGATAGACAGGCGTAAACATTGGCAGGTGGCGTGTGATGTCAAGTCTGATGAGCACCGATGTCAAAGAAAAGTGGAGGAGGCGAGAAGGAAAGTCGTGAATTTGGCTTGGCCGGTGTGCAAACAGATATTCGACCAACGACTACCGGACACTTCAATTTTGCCAATTTTCGCAGGAGTCGTGTGGCCTGACGATTTATGCAGTAGCCTATGTTAGCGCCACCATTACCGTGATGGACATCGCGCCTTTTTTTTTCAATATCTGCCATATTGTTTTTATCGAGTCCATCAAGGCGGTCGGATGGGCATCCGGCTCGCACCCAAGTTTCCGAGTTTGTACCCAATGTATGTTTTAATTGTTCCCAAATAAACCATCCAGTTTTTCTATTACACCTTTTTGGACAGGCCTTTAGACAGCGATAGGTGCTTTTGAAGCAACGTGCTCACTTCGCCTTTGTCATACTTTTCTTAATTACACATTCAGATATCAGCAGTGAACTGATGCAGGTTTTTGCTGAAAAACATGCTACCCAGGCATGACGATCTGCAGCAGTTCATAACGGTAACACCATTAATAGCTCCCGAAAGTCGGCATACATGAATAACTAAGGCACACATGACATGTATTGCTACTGCATTCCATTTCAAGGAATTTTCCTTCAGTAGGCATGAATGAAAAGCTTCTGTGGTGCATAGTTTCAAAGACTATGAGATATAGGACAAAATCACAGACGACATGGAACTGGAGATTTAAGTTAATGTGGGCACAATTGACTGCAGCTTATTCAACTCAACTATTACTTTCCACTGTGATGATACTTCTCGTGATTTTTAAATCCCCCACTGTACGGCTAGAAAAAGTTTTTACAGTAACAAGCTAGAAGCAAAACATGCTCACCACTCGATACCGTGTGAGCAAATATGGAGAAAGGCGTGTACGTACCTTGCTGGCCAATGGTCTTTGCAGAAAAAGATGATATGTTACTCCTGCCCATGTTATTAATGCCAGTGAAACAAATAAAACGAAGTTTCTTTTACGCATTGCAACATAGCAATCTTTTCCAGGTCATAGCTGAAAATAGAAACGGAATACAACGTAAGAGACGGGAACAGTAAAAGAGACAGTAAAGTCTGACGCGTATCCGAAGTCCTCAGTTTCCTGCTGTTCAGGAAAGAAACGTATCAAGGATCACTGGCGGTTGTTAGTGTATTCAGACTTGGTCCGATACCTGCTCACGCGAGGAAATGTGAAACCATGTGGTCATCGATAGCGAAGGAAAGAGCGAAACAAATTAAACAACGTAAAAAGTCTGATGTCTACGCCCGCGTGTGATCAATAGCGATACATGAAACATGAAATGCGGGGAAGAAACAGACGCAAAAACTACGAGGCGGGCGAGATCAATCAAACAAGCGTCCAATACGAATGACAGCTGTGCACATTGGGTGAGAAAAACTACAGCTGATCCGATTTCGAGCGAAAAAAGAAAGCGTTGTTTCACAACACGTACGATGCCGGTCGCGATCGTAGGATGACGTTCAAGGGCATTGGGAAATAGCCGCCACGAACAACTGCTGCGAATGAGCATGCCTGGGTATGCTAAAGCACGCGTATGACCCTTCTACCCGGTCCAATGGATCGCATGATTGGGGATCGGGACATTTTCCGGCAGCCGCGCTAGGTAAATAGAGCCATTTCCTACGCGGCTTCCCTACATGTGCAAGCTTACCGATACTTGGCGCCGCGGTGTCCCTCACCTCAGATCAGCAGGGAGAGGCCACCTCAAGCAGCGGTGGACGTTTTCGTGTGCTTCATCACAAAAACGGTGCTTTTTTTGTCACGCATTAACTCGCAAAACCATCCCGAGAATAAGACGGGTTAAAAAAAAAAGAAACCAGCTTCGTGAGCTGTCTACTTCGGCGAAACCATAATGACGAGTACCGCCCCCTACAACACGTCGATAGAGGGACGGATGGGACCACAGGGTTCGCCGACGAAGCAGAACATTTCCCGTTTTTGGCGGCGAGGCTGTCTCCGAATCGAAACTGGGAGAATGCGATGTGATTTCTCGCTTCCAGTGCGTTTTCCGTATTGTTCGCCTCGTTATAAAAATACTACCTTTGTACCTTTTCAAGTTTTATCTTGGGGTTAAGAGATCGCTAAATTAGTTTTGAATCTGTGTGCCATAGGGTTCCATATTTATTTTTTTTTTTTTTTTTTTTTTCTTGCTTCATTCTACTCATTCAGAATTGGGCAGTTTCGGAAGCTGCGGCTCAGTAGGGTAACATGGCGCTTTAAATAAATGTAAAATATGAGTTTCCCAAGTTCTGACACGTAATTTACCACACAAATTTGTCTAGATAATATATATATATATATATATATATATATATATATATATATATATTAGTATTGAAGTATCTGTATTTATATTGGTATCATTTTTTATTTACCTTTGAAGAGTCAGTTTACTACAAAACATTGGCGTAGCCAGGAATTATTTTTGGGGGAGGGGGGGGGGGGGGGGTTCGTATTATTTTTGCGTGTAGTAGTCGATGTCAAATACCCGCCGACCGGCTGGAACAATTCGATAGTCATTCAATGTCGGTCTTCCTTTTCTACGAAAATATATATGAAAAAAGACCCGGTTCTTTGGGGGGGGGGGGGGGGGGGGGGGGGCGTGATTTTCTAACCAACTTCTCCCCCCTCCCCTTACACCCCCCTGCGTACGCCATTGCGACGAAAAGTCACAGGCCCATACCTGCAGATTTGTGATGCGTATTAAACGGCTAACGGCATACTTGGGTAGTAATTCAATGGCAGTAATTGAATTACTGTAAATTAATTACTTTTCTTGGCCATTTATAATAGTAATTAATTGCTTTTGGCTAAAAGGAATTCTAATTGTAATTTAATTACTTTCTAGCGTCAGTAATTGCAAAATTTCAGGCACAATTACAATTACCTTTGCAAAACATCGCGGCTCCGATGGAACCTCTCTGAAAGCATCAGCGCCCGCACAAGCAGCCTAGCTCTCGGTGAAACACTCGCACACAGACACGCACTCACTCACACGCACAACACAAATAGCGTCGCATTGTTTGTTGTTTTGTTGCTTACACTGCGGGCTGAGAGACAATTCCCCTTTGGAGTCTACCTCAACGGCGCCGTGTAGCGCCATCTGCGGCCCGACCAGAAAACAATAGCGTAAACAGGCCCAAATATTGAAAAAAAAAAAAAAAGAAAAAGAGCTTAAGCTTTTAGCCGAGATTTGGAATTTTAATTGTCTATGAAGTTATATTTTATCTTTTTCGGAAGTTTTTTTTTCATGTCCTTTTTCTCGTATTGTCACATATTTGTATCTTTGTCTTATTTGAAAGTTTATTTCCTGTTTGTTTACTTTGAATATTATTTGCATAATGATTTTGGAGACTTACCTTGCGCCTGTGAATATTGTCACCAATAATTGAGAAGCCCCGATTCGGTTCTTATATATTTTTGAGCCATTTTAATTTCAACTCAATGCAAATAATTTATAATACCATGATGTTTCTATGTGAATGTGTTCGTACTACCGCATGTGGATTTTAGTTTTATATTAACATTTGAAAATATTAATATATCGGCGAATAGCGCATAAATTGTCGCGTTTTTATTTGCCTGGCTAACAAAAAAGTAACTCAACCCAATTTTTTTTCTTTAGCTATCTCAGCCTCTTCCAGCATATGAACTAATTTAATTTATAAGATGGAGGTACAGTACGTGTCATTTATGTAGCGATGCTTAAGTCTCCTCAAACATTGGGGCAAGGAACGAACAAATAAATCCGTTGCATTCTATACAACTCGTTTAAAGTTATATGGCCCAAGTCGGGTCGCTCTCAGAAACAAGTGATTGTAAACTAATTGCATTACCTTTTAAAAGTAATTTGTAATTGTAATTAATTACTTTTCCCATAGTAGTGATTGTAATTGTAGTTAAACTACGTTTGAAGCAAATTAATTGTAATTATAATTAAATTACAGTTTGGAAGTAATTTACCCATGTGTGGCTAACGGTAAAAAAACTCACCGCAATTATTTTATTGAATAAAACAGGAAACGACAGCAAAGATAGGTAGACTTTTCTCACTCTCTTTTTCGCTTGTGCTATATCAAGCGTTCCAAACACCCGTGCCAACGTACTGCAATGGCTGAATTGCGCATCTACAGTGGCAGACTAAACTCCTTGCTGCAGATATGTTTGCCACGTCTGTTTATATTAGCTTGAAAAAGGCTCAACTCCATGGTGGTCCATAAGAAAATTGAGGTTTTTGATTGTAACTTTTGATTAAGGCACTTTTTTTTTTTTTTACAAAACAATTGCGTCACCCAGCCGAAACAAGCCGCGGGACTGATGACGATTTATTTCTAGAGAGATGGATCCATTTCAGGCTTTTGCTGTAGTCAAGACACTACAGAACTTTATTCGGGTGTCTCCACGTTCGTAACAACTGCAACGCCAATGGAGGCTATGAAAAGTTGCAAGCGGGCAGCAGCTGCACAGAACATGCGCATGTGTCTGGGAAAAGCAAGCGATTGTTCCGCCTAGCTGGCTAAAAAAAAAAAAAAAAAAAAAACCTGGAGCAAGTGAGTTTGTTTTGTCTGATTTCTTCTTCCGTGTCTTTGCCTCTTGTGCGCTGTTTACTGCCATGTGTTAAATATTTATTACTTTTTTATTACAATTTTAAAAAAAAGATGCAGTGAAGACATGATACATAACTTGAAAGTATAAAACAGCGAGGACGAGGACGGGAACAGTACGTCTTTTGTTTAGCAACAACATAGAATGGCACAACGATAAAACCGCCCCCCAACGGTTTCAACGTTCTCAAAGAGGGAAAAGAGATAATTGTTATAAAGGAAAGGGAGTTTACTGTAAATAATAAAAGTTTAGAAAGCGCTGGCGTCACGACGAGGTATCACTAATCTAGTTATCTCCGATTACTTAGAATTCAACCTTTGTCATTGTCAATGATAATGAAGGTGCATAAATATTGTTGTTTACAGTCCCAAAGGAAAATGTGCTATAAATATAAAAGTTTAAAAAGCTGTAGCTTCACGACGAGGTGTCAGTAATCTAGTCATCTCTGGTGTGAGGCATTCGACCTATGCCTTTGTCACTGATAATGAAGGTGCAGAAATGTTGTTGTTTACAGTCCCCATGGCAAATGATTGAATCATTTGCCGTGGGGATTGTAAACAACAACATTTCTGCACCCTGATTATCATTGACAAAGACAGAGGTCGAATTCCTAACACCAGAGATGACTAGATTACTGACACCTCGCCGTGACGCTAGAGCTTTTTAAACTTTTATATTTACAGCACATTTCCCTTTGGGACTGTAAACAACAATATTTCTGCACCTCCATTATCATTGAAAATGACAAAGGTTGAATTCTAAGTAATCGGAGATAACTAGATTAGTGATACCTCGTCGTGACGCCAGCGCTTTTTAAACTTTTATATTTACAGTAAATTCCCTTTCCTTTTTATAACAATTATCTCCTTTATCCTCTTTTAGAACGTTGAAACATTGGGGGGGGGGGGGGGGGGGTGCGGTTTTATCGTTGTGCCATTCTATGTTGTTGCTAAATGAAAGATGTCCTGCACTCTAAAAAAAAGGTGTAAAAGGGCGTATCGTTACATCCTTTTCCCCATATAATACACCCCAAAACTTCAATTCGACGTGCAGCGCCCTACAGCCAAACAGACGTCCCCAAATTTTACTAGGGGCTTGATAGCCGTGTGGTACAACTTATTAAAATAGCTAATGTACGTGTTACCGACTACAAAAAAAAAAAAAAAAAAAAATAATCGGGGTTTTCTTGGCCCTACTGTAAAACTCGGTGTTTTCTTTATGCGGTATTGGATACGTACTTTAGCTATTTAAAGAGTTCTATCGCACCGTTCTCAAGCCCCTCGTAAAATTTGGGGACGTCTGTTCGGCTGTAGGGCGCTGTACGTCGAATTGAAGTTTTGGGCTGTATTATATGGGACAAAAGGGTGTAAGGTGATACCCCCTTTTTTTTAGTGTGTTCCCGTCCTTGTTTTCTCTGTTTTATACTTTCAACTTTTGTATCTATTAACCAACACGCTCATTTTCAATTGTATTTGAAGACATGGTTCGGAGTAATCCAACGTATGAAGGGATTACAATAGGAATCTTCTCAGCTGCTTCGCTTTATTTTTCAAGGGGTCATTGAAATCATACATAAAGAAGCAACCCTTTTCCGCACTGCAAATATTTTGTTCGCATCTCAGTGCAGCGGTGCGCTACCGATATTATTATCCTTGTTTGATGACCCTTCTGTTACTTGTTTTCTTTTGTGTGTATACTCCGTGTCATTGACATGGTGGGTGCAACATCTTCAAAAAACGAGGACGATGAAAGGAACAGACACAACACGACGGCAACAGCTGTACTCGCAACTGAAATGTTTTTTTCTTGAAAAGGAAAGGAAACACATACGTCAATACCACATAACACAGTGTGTGATCAAACAATACGCCACACACAAGGCATGTGTCATCAAAATAGGTTCACTAGACTCAACTTATGCCAGTCATTGTCTGGCGCAAGAAGGACAGCTCCTTATCACACAAGGCAACCGACAGCTCACTCACATATCTTTCTCCGAGGCATGAAATATAAAAAGCCTCAGTAATTTCGCGAGTGACCCTCTCTCTATGCCTCCCTTCAACCGTCACCTCGTCGAAGGCCGGCTGACACGTGCAGTCTCTTCAATGCAAAGGGAGGGGTCCCCCAACCGTGGCCCTCAGCGAGTAAGCATGCTCCCGGAGCCTATTGTTAAGGCACCTCCCAGTCTGGCCTATGTGGAATCTACCACATGACAGGAGTATCTTGTACACTACGCTCGAGACACATGATACAAAAGGTTTTGCGTGTCTTTT